AAAAAATGACTTTGGATTAATGATTAATTAACTATTTTTTAAAGTTTTCACTTGATTTTTTATGTGTTTACCCCAAGGACTTGCTGTAATTTATGTCTCAATTGAAAGATATTGATTAAAATTTATTTTGAGTGTTATATGCAAAAAATAAAAAATTCCGTCCGTAATGCTAATTTTCACATTTTTCAAGTTTAATGCGCTATAAAATCATGAATTCAAAAAATACAGATAAATCTTTTACAAATTCTTATCCCCTGAAGTCTCTTCTTTCAGAAAATGCATCTTTTGATTGATTTTTGTGCATTTGAAAATTTTATGCCCAGGACACAAATACCACGGATTGGCCCATATATAATAGTGGTATTTTGCTTACCTTGATAGAAAGGCCAAGGGTAGGTGGAAAAAAATCTATCTTTGAGGATAAGACCAAGATCTAGTTTTTTTATGCATTTATTTATTTTGGAACATTAAAGCACCAGACAAGGCAACCATGTCAGTGACAAAACACATCTTACAATATGACTGGGCAAAATTCACTTCCCAGGTCAAGAAGCTGCTTCAACTTAAACAATTCAAATCTTTTCTAACATTTTGTTTTTCTCAGGCCTTCTTCTTACAAGACAATTGAAGAAATGACCCCTAACTCTCAACTCAGGTTTCTGGACTGAAATTCCCGAAACAACATGGTGGCTTGTTAGCATGTGCTTTTAAGGACCAGCGATGGATCATTTTAGCCACTCTCTGGGACTCATTTGCAAACAAAACAAAGAAGCATGTACACAAGCTGTTTGAAAGTGCAGCAGCAAGTCTTCAACAAACATTATGCCCAAGCTGGCGTGACTGTTCAAATATAGGTTGTTGGCTACAATGTGCACATTGTGAAGAACCTTGTAATCGTGTCTTTCACTTTGTTTTCTATCTCTTCCTGTTTCTCTAACATTACACATATCTCTTTTCTCAATTTCGAAAGGGCATTTCTCAAGGTTGCAAATGTAGCAGAAAAGTACTTCTAATTCTGTTAATCCAGCTGTACACCCACACAGGCACAAACAACTCAATGTGATTTTTTTGCTAAATTATACATTTATTTATTTCCTGGACTCTTTCATCACACAATGTAAACTATTCCCTCTGTTACAACATTTCCTTTTCTCACTTTAACAAGCAATGGCTACGACACAAAAACACACAGTTCCCAATAAAGCAAACAAATACAGTTACAAAGTTACACGCCCAAGACATAAGACTGGTTTCTAGGCTGACAAAGTAAACAGAAAAGTGTCAAGTTCAGAAACAAATCCCTGATAACCAACAGTGAACCAGTAGCAGTGCCACATGCTCAAATAGCTTACTGTGTTCCAGTAAATACTGCAACACAAGATGTAAGGCTGCATTCAAAACGGATGATCTGTGGACTAACTGATCCATGGATCAAATATGGCCAACACCACTTAAAAGCGATGACAGACAATCCCCAAATGATCTCCCTGCCTACCACATGCACCAGGTCTAGCAATTAAACAGATTATTCTTCTGTTCTGAATGTGGCCTAAGATGTTTTGTTCCAGGCGCAGGTCAAGACAAATTTCCAGTCCAATTAAAACATCTTTAACTTATCTACACTATAGCTTCTTCACAAAACTTTAAATGTTTATGTCTGACTAAATATCCGTTGCTTCTGTAAAAAATTTTAATTAAAAAAAATAATAATTACAATAGCTTTTCTAAAAATTGCTACTGTGTACATTTTCAGAGCAGAGCAATTTCCAAACATGAACAACTGTTATTCATCCAGTGTGAACATCAAGCACTTACTCAGCCAGCCAGTGTCATAGCATTTCTGTTCCAGGACCCTTTCTCTACAATGGCATAAATTTAAACCTAGTTTTCCATGCCCAACTTGGCAAGAGACAAGAGAGAAAAAAGCTAGATGCTCCCTGCTATACTACAATCTCTTCCAGAGCCATTCAACCACGGTAACGATCCGTGTCTGGAATGTACATTAAGGCACAGGCTAGGTGAGGGAATGGGTGACCCCAGCAGGGGGTAATAACATCTATCTTACCCAGTTAA